ACGACATAGCTTTCACGAGAAAGTTTGAAATAAAATATTTTTTACTAAATTTTTAAAAATATTATATTTATGAGGTAAGATTTTTTTTGGAATATCTTGTTTGTAAAAGTAAAGGAGAATATTTTCTAACTGGATTGTACCAGAATTTTGGTTGGTAGATTTCACTATAATAATTAAATATTAAATACATGAAATTATAAGAGAAGATATTTTATCAGTTGATTTTGCAAAAACTTTTTGAATGACATGTTCAATAACAAATATTTAAATGTAAAATATATATTAGATAAAAAATATAAATATTTAACAAATAAACATTGGTTCTTGTTTATTTGTTGTTTACGTCATACTACTATTAAACTGAAAATAGAAGTCAAGAAAACTTACCAATACAATCTAGTGTTTGAAGGTTGATATCAAATATTTTAGATTCTTGTAGCGACTATTTTTCCATAGATATTCCAATGAAATAAATCTGTGACATTAAAATGATCATGATTAGATCTAACCTAGAAAATAAATATGAAATGTGAAGATAATGAATTTACCTGAGATTTATAGAAAAGACAAATGTTTAGTTTGTCCAAAAAAAAAGACAAATGTTTAGTTCACATGAAAAAAACTAAAGAAAGCGAAGATGATCAAATCATAACCTGTAAGTTACAGAAGTTTGATTTCTTTTACAAAGTGCTGCAATCTTTACACCCTACAAAACAAAGAAAAAATGAATAAGATATTGATTAGAAAATGAATTAAAAAAAAATCAAATTTTTGTAACTTACATTTTCGTCAGCGAGGACCAAGTCTAATGTGTCGCTTCCATAACTGGTGTTTGTTTCCAACAATGAAGAACCTTAACGTGTATTTGCCGATTATCTCTGTAAGGTTTAATACTCTTAAGGAATATAAAAGTGTTTGGTTTTGTCATTTTTTTATTGGAGGTGATAGTAAATGTCGAATGATGAATATGAGAAGAACTATATATACGCCTCATATTTTAGGAAGGGCGTCAAAACAAATATAATCTCCAACAATTCAGAAAACCAATTAATAGTCTATAATTAATATCAAATCAAGAGATTTAGTATCTAGGCGAGATTTTAGGCAAAGTAGGTTGACTTGGAGAAACGATAATTCCATAAAGGATTATATATATTATATCGAATTGTGCTTTATAATTAATACCAAATCAAGAGCTTTAAATGTAACCAAGATATTCTGCTTTAAAAGGATAAGAATATACTGAGGATTTTCATAAAAAATAAGAAAGTGAATTATAATTATGTTCCAAATAATTATAAGATACCGAATCATCACTAACTTCCTAAATAATAGATAACTTCCTAAACAATAACAAAATATAACTAACTGCGTAAAGATTAGATTAGACTAACAATAATATCATATCGTTATTAGACTATAGATTAATAATATGAGGTCCAACTTAAAAATCTACCTAGAAGAAGTTATAATGCTTCTGTTTTAATAAAATAGATTACTAAGGAACCTTCCTAACTTTTTGAAGAAAGGGAGCATTTATTCGCACTCAACGATTCTGAACTTCGCATACATGACTTTTCAAAGACATATAACAAGTACTCTCTCTTTTCCTAAAAGATCCATATCCTAATTTTTTCATATTATTTTTAATAAAACATAATAAATTTGCATAGTTTTTGAATTTATCTTATTTCCATAATTTTAAATCAATAAAAAATCAATTAGTGCAGTTAAGTTTATTGAAGTTTACAATTAGTTAATAAAACATGTATTGAAAATATAAAAAATAGATCTTTTAGAAACAATTTTTTTTTCTAAAATATCTATCTTTAAGGAACGGATGGAGTATATAAAACCCGATAATCCAACTTAAGCATAGGTTTAGTTTCTATCAATGAAATCATCAAGGGCTTACCTTTAAGGAGGAGCAATGAAAGGCCCTTTTAGTTGGGGTCCACTATGTTTGATTTAACCATATATTTTGTTTGTTAAATAAGGTAATGTTTTGTCAACATAAATAATCGTTCTGGTGTTTAATTATTGATGCCAATGAAGCAAATGTGTTAATTAATTAAAAGAATAGCCTTTCAAGGGGTAGTTGGTCGAGTTAATGATAATCATTAGACAGAGATGTTTCTACCATACACAGTTAAGTTTTCTTCTTCTTTATGATCACAATTTTTTTTAAAAACACAAGCACTTTTTTGAATTTGTTAAATTTACTTTTGTTTAAACTTTTATGTGCTACATTGTATTAATTTAATTTTAAATTTAGAACAAACATTATTTTGACCAGTTTCCTAATATTTCTCCTCAATTAACTAATTTAAATGCTAATTTCAATTCTACTTTTATAAGTTTGTGACCAGTTCTGTAAGATTTTGTTATTTATTTTGTCATCATGGAGATTTTGTTATTTAAAAATAGATCTACATTTAATGAAATCATTAACAGCAAGATTAGCATTAAATTTTAGGTATTCGGATCCTCAAGTTGGATCTTTCAGATCTCACATATTTGGAGTCATATAGGTAAATGTAGTTTTTGGTTCTGTTTTAGATCCCATCGGTTCCAGCCGGTTTAATCTAAATTTCTAAAACAGTAAAATACCCAAATAATTTGGTTATGATTTGGTTTAACACTGGTCAAATCTCAAACTAATTTCTAATATCTAATTTATTTGATATAATCAACTATATGTAACATATGCAAGTTGATAATAACTCTAAAACAATGTTACAACTAGGTTAATACATGCGCATTGCGCGGAATGAGGATTGTATATATAAATTATTATTTATTTTGTGTTCTACTACATATTATAAAATAATAATATATATTGAATAATTGAGAAATCAACAAATATTACATACAATTAATTTAGCACGAATACTAAAATAAATTAATCACATTTGTTTATTTAAAATAACTTTATATAAATAAATCTAAAAAATAAATGATATTAATATAAATATATATATGATAAAAATTTAATTTGGCTATCAAAACTTCTCACTTGTAAGATTTTATGATTATTTGTATATTTTTATAACATAATTTTCAATGTGAGACGTTCAACATTTAAAGCAATTCATAATCATTTAAAAATATATATATTCAGTTTTTGAAATTTAAAGTATTAAGTTCTCAATACTTGTTCAATGCAAAATTTAAAATTAAAATACCTATGTATTTTTAGATGGTATATATTTAATTTAAGCATCACTATATATGTATAAACATATAATCTCAATATATTATAAATGATATTTATTGCTCATTGATTTTATAATCATTTTTATTTTGTTATAACAAAAATAAATTATTAATCAAAAGACTATTATATGTTGAACTTTTAAAGGTTTTATTACTTTATCGTCGTTTTTAAAAATTGAAAATATAACATATAGGGAAAAATCTAATTTTTTATTATATAGCTAATGTAATTGTTTAAATTATTTTTATAATATAAAATTAAAAAAGAAAAGAATAGAAGGTACACAAACTTTTATCAAATATTTTTTTACAAATAATTAATTGTCATATATATATATATATATATATATATATATTTTTTTTTTTTTTTTTTAATCACATTAGGTATGTTTGAGAGGAATTTCATCTCCCTCCACTAAGCCCATCAAATAACTAGACTCGGTCTGTTATCGTCCGAAGCCCAGCCGAGAATCAAGCCCACACTAAAGACAGATGGTGTGAAGGGGAACCGGTCGTTTTAGCTTCAAACGATCGATCGACCCAGCCGGTTAACGAGGGTTCAAGCGATTGTTGCAGGAGAGGAGTTGCACCTTCCCCTACAAAGGCCATCTAATAAGAAATCTGGTCCATTGTCACTCACGGCCCGATTGGAAATCAGGCCCGTTCAAAAGACGATCGGTTTGAAGAGAACCAATCGGTTCAGTTTGGCAGTTGATCGACCAAACCGGTTAGTGACAGTTCGATCGATTACTCTCTAATTCGCAAGGCTCATTAGGCATACCCAGGCCCGAATCCTCTAGGGCGAATGAGTGTCAGAGGACAAGGGTGAACGGGGGCTATTAAAGGAAGAGAGATGGCAAAGGGAAGAGGATCCGCAAATAGACACAAGAATACTGACGGCAAGATCTAGGGTTTAACGACTGATCGATCTCCCTTGTATTCTCGTCGGAGCTTCTTTAAGAACTCCGACCTTTCCGTTTTCTCAGAACCTCCTTGTAATCACTTTCGTTATCACATACCGATTAATAAAACGTCTTCTTAAGTCCCACAAATCGAGTTTAGTTTTCCTTGTTTATCGATCGAACAAACTCAGATTCAACAAGGTAATTTCATAATCTATACTATTAAAGCTGAAGTACAAAAATTAAGTGTTTGGAAACATGAATAGTAAGTATTTAAAATTAAGATGATTGGAAACAAGGATAGCCTACAAATCTAATGGGCTTACTTATTAAACTAAAAATTACTACGGCCCAAAGTACCATTATTATTGTTTTTGGGGTTTCAATCCTTGATATTATTTTATTTCTGAAAATTATGTATACATATATGTACTCGTGTTTTAAATGTATGTGGAATAAATCAAGAATAATATATATTTTATTTATATAATTTATATTGACTATTGTTAAAAGTTTTTAACAGTAATATACTAGCATTCCAATTCTTCATTAAAAATGAACTTAAAAATTTGACTAAATTGTTTAGTGTATATAATTTTTTACCAAATTTAGTCAAAAAAACTTTATAAAATATTTACGGGTCACAACATTTTACCGACGTCCTATTACAGAATTCAGTGATGAAATACAATGTTTAAACAGTATACTATTACTTAGTAAAATTGGAGCTGTAAGATTGTAATTTTAAAAATATTTATATATACCTTAAAAACAAAGACCCGCCCAGTCGGACGGGTTATGATCTAGTTTTTGTTAAAAGAAACAATAAATAACATTAAAAATAGTTTTATGCTTAGTTTAATAAGTAGGATGTCATATATTTATATGGATCAACATTTTTTCTAGAGAGTTTGAGAAACATTATAGTGATGACACATGTCATACATAAAATGTTGTAATACTTATCTTTTCTTTTTAATACATAGGGGATAGGGGATGTTACACTGAGTTTAAATTTACATATAACGTACACTGATACACATAAAGAATATGATAAAACCGAGTCACTTCTTCATGAGAAGAATAACAGTGTGAGCTGCAATGCTTCTGTTCTCTCCAAGGCTATCAACTTTCTCATGGGTTTTAGCTTTTAAGTTTACAACAGAAGGGTCTGCACCAAGAAGCTTGGACAGATTGGATCTGATTGTCTCTTTGTGTGGACTTATCTTCGGTCTCTGTAGAATCAATGTGGCGTCTAGGTTTCCTATCTCGTACCCTGCCTCATCCATGAGTCTCACCTGAAACATAAAGACAAACAAAACCTCGTTTCAAACCCACTGAATCCAATCCTTTTTCATGACACATTTTTTTTGATATAAATAAATAACCTCATTACGAAGGGATCAACATTAAAAGTTTGTAGCTTGATTTACATTAGCTATCAACATTCACAGTAACTCATTAAAAATAAAAGTATATACAAGAAAGAAACTGTTTAGTTTCAAACTAGAAGTTTAGAACAGCCAGGCATGAAATCAATCATACATATTGCCTCCAAAGTAAAGTGAGGCTACAAGAACCAATCTATAATTCATAAACCTACCCAGCAAGTATGAACCTAACTTAAAAACCTGAGTTATGCCAACGATAAAACTCATGTATGCAAATGCAAGCACAGTAATATTATACATAGCTTAAGTGACCACTAGAACTAAGAAGGCGCTGAACTAATAAGTTGAAAGCCCATTTTTTTTCTCCTGAATCAAGACAAAAACTCGTCTACTTTCTAAATGTGCCAAGATTACACTCAAGGAGTATTACAGAACCTTGATATAAACTAACCAACAGCTTAGGAATCATATGAATTTCTGAAACATTAGGATTAAAGACAGTAACAGGTAGGCAAAAGGGCAATCTCTATGAACACTAATTGAACATCAAGTCAAGCTACGGAAGCTTACAGCTTCTTGGATGAAGACAGAGGATGCAGCTCCTTTCCACTTAGGATCAGAATCAGGGAAAATCTGACCTATATCAGGAAGCCCTAAAGCTCCCAAGATAGCATCCACCACACAATGTAGCAACACATCCCCTGCACACAAAATCCCATACATCACCAACACAAAGCTCAAAGCTCAATTCAATCTATGTTCAAAAAGGTCAAAACTTTAAACCATCGGAGTGAGCTTCGCAGCCTCTATCGTGAGGGATATCAATCCCTCCGATGATTAGAGGGTACCCTGGCTCCAACCGATGCAGATCGAACCCGTGACCCACTCGAAACGGAAGTGTTCTTGTTGATTTCTTCACTGTTTCATTGACTTCGACGGTCGAAGAAGCAGAGGAAGCTGAGACTGAAGAACGATAGGATAAAGAGAGAGACTTTCCACTCCGTGTGGTGAACCCATGAACGCTGATCGTCGCTGCCGCCGGTGGTAGAAGGAAGGGCTTTTTGGTAATTTGAGAGTGAAACAAAGAAGAAGATAGCTGAGTCGAAGTAGCCATAGCCATTTCTTCTCTGATCTCTCTCCCCAGTCAACAACCAGCCACAACATTTTACTTTTATTTTTATTTTAAATAATAAATACTTTAAACTGGGCTTTTTATTGGGCCAATACTAAAGCCCATTTAAAATTTCATTAGATCTGTACCGTCGTCTTTCCAGTGAACGTTACAGTAGACCGCGTCGTAGAGCATAATCGCTCATCACTTCTTTCGCTATTAGGTTTTGCTTCAAACTCCCTCGCCTCCTCTTCTCTTCTCTTCTTCTTCTTCTCCGCTTTCAGAGCTCCAACAAAACGGCGGCGGATCATAAGGAGAGAAGATGGCGGCGCCAGAAGCTCCAGTTAAGTACGTCGGAATCATAAAGGAATCCGCCGCTTTCCGGCTAATGAAATCCATGGTGCGTTATATTCTTCTAAATGAGCATCTAAACGTGGAGATTTTGTAAATAATAAAATAAATAAAAGAACTAATTGTTGGAGTGGTGATGTTTTTGTTCAGGGTTGGGAAGAAGGGGAAGGACTTGGTAAAGATAAGCAAGGTATCAAAGGCTATGTCCGAGTCAAGAACAAGCAAGACACAACTGGTTCGTTTCTTCTTCCTTCTTCTTAATGCTTAATGCTTGCTCTCTATTTACTGTAAGTAAAGATTTTGAACATTGGAGAGCAGGTGTTGGGGTTGATAAGCCTAATCCATGGGCATTCGATACTACTCAGTTCGATAATATTCTCAAGAAACTCAAAGTGGTAATGTCTCTCTCTCCCATTCTTAGTTTTGTATCTTTTAAATTTTTTGAAATTGATTTCAATCTTATTCTTTTTTTTTTATTTGCAGCAAGCAGCTCCTAGCAAGAAAGATGATGGTACAGCTGCTTCTTATTAAGTTTAGTTATTTCTTAATTGTGGCAATCTAATGACTGGTGTTTATATTGTCATGAAACAGCTTCGGAGAAGGAAGCTGAAAGTGAAAGTGAAGATGAGGCTGTCAAATCTGAGCCTGCCAAGGTTTCTAAAGTTACACGTCCACAAGGAAGGTTGTTACATCTTTCTCTTCTCTTGATTACCCCTTTAGGAGTTTGTATGTCCCATTGTGTTTGAATTGTTGTTCTCTACTTTTAGGTATAAACGTAGAGAGAAGGGGAAGCTTGTCAACTCTTACTCTTCTAAAGATCTTGAAGGAATACTGGTAACCTTTCTTTTTCAGTTATTTATCTCCTTGTTTGATCCCCTCCTTGAACAAGATTCATTTCGGTTAGCATTACTTTAAGTTAAACATTATGAAAGAAACAGTATAACTTGGGCTAAATTGGTTTTGGCTGTTATGTAGGTTAAGCGAACTGAGGAGCCTTCTCCTGCGGTTTGTGACATAGCCGATACTATGGAGATTGAAATTATATCTGAAGACCAACATGCTAGTGTTACAGGTGATTAGTTTTTCGTGAAGTAGTTAAATGGTACAACTTTCGGTTTCTGTGAGCTAAAAATGATTATATTACTTTGGACTGAACAGAACAGAATGTCGAAGAACCTTCTTCAGACTGGTGGGGATTTAAATCCGGGTTTGTCTCGGGTGGTCTTCTTGGAGCCAAGTCTGGCAAAAAGAAATCATCCAAGTCTAACGAGAGAAAAATGTTTTGTGAGGACGATCAAGAGAATCTATACAACATGGTTCAGGTGCGTGTTTTTCTTGCTATCCACTCTTCTTCTCAAGCTGTTCTTGGAAAACATGTTTGTGTATATGATGTCTTAATGCTGTGGAATGTCTGCAGGATAAAGCCACGGCTGGAAAACAAGGACTGGGTATCAAGGACCGTCCAAAGAAAATAGCTGGTGTTCGTTACCAAGGAAAGAAAACTTCTTTTGATAACAGTGATGATGATGATACTGATGAAGAGGAAGAAGAAGAAGAGAGTGAAGATGATGATGACAAGGACTCTGTTGTTGAAAATTCTCTCTCAGCAAAAAGGAAGCGCGAAGAGAGTGAAGAAGAAGACGAGAAAAACTCTGTTATCGAAAGTTCTCTCCCAGCAAAAAGGAAGCGTGGTGAAATCATTGAACCTAAGATCAAGTTGAAGAACCTGTGCAAGCAGATTATTAAAAAGGTATGTTGCCAATTTTACTTTGAACAGTCGTTGCTTCTATACCGTCTCTCTCACGTATGTCATACATTCTCAGAATGCTGGTAGTGGTGGATCCATGAAGCTGAAGCAGCTTAAATCTCTAATTGATGGACATTCACCATCAGTTCTCTCAGAGTTCTCGTCAAGGAAAGATGCTATTTCTTACTTGAAACTTAAGGTAATACTAATTTTTGCTCATCTTATGTCAAATCTATCCTGCTACTTCTTGTGCCTACTCCTTCACTGAGCTGTGATATTCATCGAATGTGAGATAGTGTAGTCCACATAATCATTTTTATCATAACGTTTCTCAGTTTTACTATAGAATGTTCAATTTTTTTTTACTGATGTTGGACTTGACCTCTTTGTTGCAGCTGGAGAGAAGTGGGAAGTTTATTGTGGAGGGAAAGAAGATCAGTCTCGTATCAAAAAAGAAGTGAGTGAGGACAAATATCATTATACCTGCTGCGTAGGAAAATGGAGATTAGGGCAAGTTTTGTTACTGAATCAACATCATGCCGTATGTGTAACAAGTATCATCGTTTTAAAAAGATTTTTCTTGTGTTTTATAATCAATTCATACATTCTATGAGAGTTTTTGCATAAAACTCCACAATAATCTCTTTTATTTAAGAACAGATAGAATGCATGTTGATGTATTTGAACATAAGGCAATACAGAGCTTCAATTTCAGTTCTCTTATAATGAGAGTGACTACTCCTAACTCCTGTGAATGTGAATCTGTTAGCTTGAATAATCTACGGCCCCAATACATCTAATCATGTTGGCTATAATACTCCTGTGAATGTGAATCTGTTAGCTTGAATAATCGACTACGGCCCCAATACATATAATCATGTTGGCTATATGTAATCACAAACAGTGATTTTAGACTATTTCGTATCAATCATAAGAAACCGACATTCATCGATCTAGAATCTAAAGTTTTTGTGGTGGTTAAATTAATCCAAACTTGTAAAATTGATTGCGCTTGTATCTATTCTACAATATAACAAAATATATGTAGCAGTGAAAGTTTTTTAGATCCAGTGAATTTCAGTTGATCTAAGATATTTACATTAATGTATGTGTAGCACAATAAATTGAACCGAAAAATTTACGACACATGTTAAACGAAGATCTATTAACATTTGATTTATATTATATAGTCTATAGGTTGTATGAGAAGCTTCCACGTGCGTGCATGATTTTTGCTAATGTTTATTTTTATTTTATTTATGCTAATTTTAGTTTTTTATTTATTCGATTCCTAACAACTACAACCACGATAATCTGATTAAGGTCGTTTATCCATATTTAATGCCCAACACTTTAAGCGACTTCATCATGTCTAGACTAGTACTCGTTTGATAAACCCGAACTATATATTTCATATAAGAAATAAACTTAGTGTATATGTATTTAACCCAAAAAAAAAAAACTTAGTATATAAATGTACCGAAGGAAATTTCAGAAGGACAAAACATATGCTATATCCTATATATAAATTTCAGAACGCATAAACGAAACCAAAAAGGAAATGTGAATCTATATATATATGCTATATCCAAAAGGACAAAGAAGCTATTACAAAACATTCCCTTTGTCATGGGAAGACATCAACAAGAACGTTGACCACTAGCATAAGCAGATGTGTTTTATTGGTTTTTATGAGACACACGCATGTGGATACATGTATAATTAGGACTGGACATTTTATTCGTTAAATTTGATTTGATTCGTTATTCATCTCGATTCGATCCAAAAATTCCAGATATCCGTAAGTTTTCGAATCAAAGTAAATACTAAAAATCAATATTCGTTAAAATCGAAGCAAATCACAAATATTAAAATTTTGGGAAGTAGATATCCGATTCGATCCGAAAATATATAAATACATGTATATTTTATTATATTTAAAATTTTAAATGTATCAAATTATTATTATAGCTTATGATTTGACTAATTATATCCACATTATTACTTATATAAAATTTTTAGATAAAAAGAAGACAAAAATTATGAAAATTATAAAAAAGTATTTTAAGTTTTGTGTTATTATAATTGTTAACTTAAACTTAAAAAAATTATAAAATATGTAAACTCACTACTTAATTTTTTTATTTTATATATCATGCAAAAAATATTTTACAAAATAAATAAATTTATATAAAATTTTTAAGATTATTTGTAACAGATGAGATATTCGTAAGTGTTTGTAAATATCTGCAAATATCTATTTATTTTCCGGATACCCGTTTTTTTGGATATCCGTATTTTTTCGATCCGTGCCCACCCGTATGTATAATCTTTCACAAAGTTAAGACATTAAATAACCATTATAGTTTCCAAACGTTAATCTCAAATACATTACCGTAATATAAAATTTTGATATAGTAATCGGTTTATACCAATATTTATCAAAGTTGCTTTATGTTCCTTTTCCTTAATACAGATATATACTATTTAATTTTTCACTAAATAATTTGATATATATTACATACATTATAGGGTAATATATGAATCTAAATAATAATATTGATCAAAAGCTTTGCTAAGGCAGTTGAACAAAAAGTTAGGTGAATATAGTTGGCCTCAATGTTATACACCCTTTAAGCCATTCTTCTTCTTTCTTCCCTACAAATATCCTTATCACCTTTCTTCTTCTCTTCTCTTCTCTTCTTCTTGATATCCCCAGACAAATACATAAACAAACCTACATATAGCGTGAGAGAGAGAGAGAGAGAGAGAGAGAGAGAGAGATAATCTAGAGGAAGCTTCAAAAACAAATGGAAGGGATAGACAACATAAACTCGATGTTAACACTAGAAGAAGGCGAAAACAACCCTTTTTCTTCTTTTGAGGACAAACAGTTAATGATGATGGTTCCTTCCTTAATGTTTTCCGGCGATATGGGCACATCTTCTTCTTGTTCTCCAGCGAGTTTTCATATGTCTGGTCAGCCAGAGAACTTTCAAGACGGAGGAGGAGAAGAGGCGATGGAGATGGGAGGATTAAATGATCACAACAATAAAGGGAAAGGCAAGAGATCGTCGGCCATGCAGAGAATTGCGTTTCATACGAGGAGTGATGATGATGTTCTTGATGATGGTTATCGGTGGAGAAAATACGGTCAAAAATCTGTCAAAAACAATGCTCATCCCAGGTTCTTCTTTTACTTAATTACATCTACATATATATATATATATATATATATATATATATATATATATATATATATATATATATATACATTTATGACGTGTTTAAAAACATATCTGACATCTTAAAAGTAGATTTCGAAATTGACCTAAGATAATATATTCACACACTTGGTTACGTGTCTATCTTGGTTAGAAACATTAGCTTAACAACCTATAACGATCGAATTCAAATTGTGTTAGTCCGGTTGATTTAGGCTAGGTTACTGCTCGTGTCTTTGAACTAGCTAGAGTGTTTATGTATAAGCTGTATCCCCAACAAAACAAACTGATTCAAACCTTTTGTATAGGTTTTATCTTTAAAAACTACATGTAGGAATGAGTTTTATCAAAAACTTAGCAGATAATATATATATATATATATATATATTTCAGTATACCGAAAAACATAACCGCATAACATATAGAATGACCTGGCATGGTAGCTTCGTAGGTAACAATATCATATAGGTAACAGATTTATTATTCATTTGTGTTTGCAACTTAATAAATTGCAGGAGCTATTACAGATGCACGTACCATACATGCAACGTGAAGAAACAAGTGCAAAGGTTGGCAAAAGATCCAAAAGTTGTCGTAACAACCTACGAAGGTGTTCACAATCATCCTTGTGAGAAGCTCATGGAGACTCTTAGTCCTCTCCTTCGGCAACTTCAGTTCCTTACCAGAGTTTCTGATTTGTAAATGTGATATAGTTGTGTAATTATGCAATTTAATCATGATTTCATTACTCCATTGACAAAAACCACTCCCTTGACCCCAATCGATTTCCCAATAGAAATGTATAAAAAACATATCTTAGATTATAGGATTTTCATGTTTATTGAGATGGATTTGTTTGATTGTTTCTTTGTTCTCTCCTTGTTGTGTGTATTTATCGAAGACTGAGTAAAGCCGCTTAATGAAACAATTTTAAAAATATAAATTTAAATCTATAAGATTCATCATAATAAGAAAAAGCCAGGAAATTCTAACGATCACTTTATTCTCCTTCCTTGCAGAGAGAACAATAAATTTTCCTTCAACAATAACTCAAGCACTTATTCTCATCATCAACGTTCACATTGTTCATATAAATCCCACCTTTCTTTAACATTCTCCTTGCTACAGATTTGCTCTGAAACAAATCCGAAAACTTATTAATTGTACTCTGTTTAAAATTTGTATTATTACTGGCTTTTCTTGCTTCGTGTTGTTTGTATTGTCTAATCGGAACAACTGCTTAACTTTGTGGTGCCAGTTGTTTAATTTATGTTCTCCACTTCTTCTTTGTATTTTGTTTTAATACAATACTAGATTTTGACCTGCGTAACCGCGCGGATATTTGTTTTCGTTTATAATGAGTTATATAAACATTTTGTTTTCACTTGTAAATTGGTATATATTGTGGTAATCACATATTTACGATATGTATAACAAATGTTTTTTAAACATAATAATATTATATAATACGTGTTTTAATCAAATAGATTATTTCAAATTTTCTATATTACACATGTTTGAAAAACATGTGTTTGTTTCTTCTTCTATATTTTATTGTTTGTTAAATTAATATTTCATTTTTAGATAAAGTAATATAAATAGAGCTTGATTAATATATTATACTTTAATTTGCAAAGATAATATAAACTTCGAATAATTTTTTGCTAAAAACTAAACTTATAGCTTCATAAATTAATATTATAAAGAACTTTATTAAAAATGAATTTTTCAAACAATTTCTTTTTTTAAAACAATATAATTTTAAAAATTTATATCGAAATAAATTTATCTAGTATATATAGCGTGTAAATTTTGTTAGGGTATATAATTATTCCATATTACGAATCTGTGATTTTTGTTAATATATATTGTGGGTGCATTTAACTATTTTTGACATATTTACTTATAAATAATAGAAGATTCCTAAATTTATATCTATTGACATATTTTGCGTGACTAAGTTGGAAGGTATGGGGGTAATTTATCAAAACCAAATTGTTAAGCGTATCTTTATTGCTATAGATATGATTTTTTCATAAGGTATAATAATTATAAGATTATTAAAGAGTTAATGTAACATGTTTTTCTAGTATTTGTCATTTTAAAAAAAAATCACACATAAAGTCAAGTCATGACTTCTGTTTTAATATATAAGACTAGAGTTTTTACCCGCACATTCGTGCGGGTATATTTTTTATTTTAAAAATTTATTTAATATTAATGTAAATATTTTAACTATATAATTTATATTTTTATGTTATATATTGTGTAATTTATAATCTAATTGGTGTAGGTTTTTATTCAACATTATTAATATATAATTTTCTTTAATTTTTTACTTTGTTATTCAACATTATTAATATAAAGTATTTTTATATATTTTCTCAACATATTATTTTATAATAAAAATATTAAATTTTCAGTTAAAAATATTTCCCTGATATCTTCTGAATTAGTAAAACTTTCTGACATCCTATCCTTTTTAAATAACACATGAACTAAAAGTTAGTTATATATT